ATATCAATAATAACAACAACAACAACAACAACAACAACAACAACAACAACGACAACGAAAACAACAGCAGCAACAACAACAACAACAACAATAATAATAATGATAGTAACGATAATAATAATAATAATAATGATAATAGCGATAAAAATAATACTACTACTACTATAACTACTACTATTACTAATAATAATAGTAGTAGTAGTAATGACGGTAGTAATTATACACTCGACCAAATCCGTGATAAACGCGTAGAATACCAAAATAGCAGCGATAATATTGTAAATGATGATAATGTTAAAATCGCAGAACATGACAAAAGATCCGTTCACTCGCAAGACCTCGGAAATAATAACGAAGACGAAATCGCCCAATTAATTCACTTACATTTACCAGAAGACGTGAAAGATATATTAGAGAAACTACGCGAAATACAGAAAAGGACGGAAACTTTACATATTTTTGATCAAAAGGTATTTATAGTCGTAGTCGAAAAAAAATAATCCAAGTTTTCCGCTTGCCTTGTTAATACTAATTTTTTTTTGTTACACACAGAATTCAATTTCGACTTTGGAATCCGCGTTAATGTCAATTTTAATTTTAGCACCAACATTATTACTCGCGAATACTACAAATAAAAAACAATCAATTTCTGGGCATAATAACCATCACAATAATGATGTTAGTAATAATAGTAATAATAGTAACAATAGTAATAATAATGATAATAATAATGGCAATGATAGTATACCAAAACCATCATCAATGAAATTTATTACAACCTTTTCTCATCTCATAAGTAACGATAACGAAAGTCCAACGCCAAACAATTTATTAATAAATGACGATAAAAACGACAATGAAAAAGAATTTTTAACCAGCAGTATACCACCTTCACCGAATCGTGCATCTTCACTCAAAAATAAATCCTCTTCGCTAGTGAAAGTATTAAGTGCATCCACCCTAGTAATTTCCATTGTTCGTAATATGTTGGCACAAAACAACAATCAAATTTTAAATAATCTCACCGATGCTGTGAAACTTGACGAGTATCATGTGCTCACCGAGTGTGTATCGGAGAAAGCTGAATCGATTTTGAAAACTGTTCGAATGATTAAGGATTCAAATCCATCAGCATCGAATGGACAGGTAATAAATTTTTTGAAATGTCGGTATAATTTTTTTTCGATATAACAATGCAATAACGAGGAGAATTGATTTAATAGCATATATATAATGCGCTTATCTCGAGTTCAACCGATCTCGCGGACGCTTTAATTATGTTCGTAGGCTTTGTTAAGGATCATTTGCCACATATTGCTATCGAAGAACGTAAGTATTGATTTTCAAACAATCTGCGTAAATTCAAATAATCGAAATCTATATCGAGATGTAACTATGTATAGCATTTACAGGCTGTTCAACTACCGATAACGATAATTCCAGTATTAATCTGAAGTAAGCGAAAATAGAAAGTTGATACTACAATTTTACGCATCTTTCAAAATTGCTAAATCTTTTCTTTTTTTAACTCTTACGCTTAGGAAAAAATCTTCGTGTGAGTATTAATTTCACGAAATTTTTTTGCCTTGACAGTAAATTAAAATATTCATCTTTCATAAAATACAGTCAAGAAAAAGGTATTAAAGAGCTTCAAAACATTAAGACGGAACGTTCCTTCTCCGTTGGGATCACCAGCTTCTACGTTCTCATTTAGTAAAGATAAGGATAAAGACACACGATCAAAAAAATTTTTGGGTATCAATGGACATATATTTTCGGGAAGAAGATCAAATGGGGATTTAAGTGTCTATCGAAAAGTGAGCGTCAATTGTTTTATATTTCAAACATTTATATTTAAATTTTAACGTAATTCTTGATATATAATAGAGGTCAGATAGCATTGGATCAAATGCTTCCTCAATCTCAAATGTATCATCTCTTGCCTCTATTCGTACTATGCCGAATTTAAATACGCATGGCAACACTCAAATTGATCCGCTGTCAAGTAGTGCAAAGAAATCATTCCGAAAAAAACCTTTTCCTTATCTACGCATTGAGACTTCTTTTCGCGGCTCCAATAAAACCGAGAAACACCGCAAATTACATATTCTCAGAGAAAAACGTGATGGGCAAAACATTGAAGTTCACGAAAAAGAAATAGAGGAAGTTGATTTGAATGATATAGAAGAACAACATTCTATTGGATGGGCAAGCGTAGCTAGCTCTCTTAATAATACACCCACCAGCTCAAAATTTAGGGAACATTTTGAAGGAGCACCAGCTCAAATGACGGGTATTTCTTTGTTAGGTAATGAATCATCATCCCCTTTTTTACAAAATTTAAATATTATATTAATATTTTGTAAATATATTAGGAGGTCGTCACCGTCGTGCATCGGACGCATCAATAAGAACTCCATATTCAACAAGATCGTTATACGTCCACGAAAATTTAAGTACTAAATCAGCATTAAGCGTTTTAGAATCCTCACATAGAAATAGCATCGAAGATCACACCAGGAACAAAACCGAAGACGAAAAAAGTCGCCGAAATTCATCACATTCGAGCATAAAATCCTACCTTCTCAAACATATTAGCCAGAAATCGAAAAGCAAATTCAACAAGAAAGGAAAAGGAGATTATTGGCCAGTCAATGAATCTATTCCTACGACTCCTAAAAATACAAGCGAATACTCTGATGCGCCGCAACTTCCACTTTCCGCTCGAAGTTCGACTAGTTCGACAAAAAGCACCAGATCAACCAATCGTTTGTTTTCCTTAAAACGTCCTAAAGTGCCTCATAAAATGAGCAGTGAGTCTGATATAAGATCATTGAAAAAGCGGTGGGCTGAATACGATGCTGATAAATCATTAAGCACTCATCCTGAAGAAATTAAGGAAAATTCTTCCAGCGATAACAATAATAATGCCCATAGTGACGTTGCAAATGATGAAGTATTCTATAGAATTGTGACGAAGAAAAGGTATTATTTATTTTATTTCGTTGAGCATCATATTGTTTTAACTTAATTTATAACTTTTCCCGCTAAACAGCTCTAATAGTTTGAATATAAAGAAAAAACCTAGCTTAACTTCATTATTAAAACCACCAAGTCTTTTTTCGACATCGCACAACGTAAGAGATTCATTCTTTTTTTATTTTTCGCAAATTTTTCATATTATCAATTATAATGCTTCGCGAATTCCTATTTGCATCATAAGCGTGGATCTGCAGACTTTTCAGATTTCGATGACGGGGAGCTAGTTCAATATTGCAATGCTCATAGTAAAGAAGGCCTCGCGTTGGGTGTTGTAGACAAAAGACCTCAAGTTTTGTACGGTACAATTGAAAATCTCATTTCTTGGATGGTAGATGAAGATGGTCAAGGTGAGTTGTCAGAATATTTCCTAATGGACAATTTTTCTATCGATAGTTTACTAATTTATGAATTCATCAAATCTTGCCCAGATTTGGAATTTATTGATGTTTTCATCCTTTGTCATGGGTTCTTCATGGAATCGCGAGACTTTTTAGAGAATATGATTTTACGATTTCATATACAATCTCAGGGTAGTGACGACAACGCCAATAATTTTTCGAACTACGTTCAAATAAAGTAATTATTGTTCATTACGATTTTTCATTGGTTGTTTTTTTATTCTTGTTAAACATGTTTATTTTGAATTTAGCATTCTGTCAATACTTCATCGATGGGTCACTATTCAGTCCGAGAATTTTCAAGATCAAATTCTTTATGAATGTCTTGTTAGTTTTCTTGATGATGACGTCAAAAATGCCGGCTTTCTGGGGGAAGCGGATCAAATCAAGTTTACATTAAAGGAACAAGTGCGTCGTTTTTAATTTACATAATGGAATAATGCTTACGAATAGCCAATGACCATTTTTTTATTGTTACTAGTTAAGTGACAATGGTCACGATAAACTACAAAATGCCGCAAAAATTTTGCCCATGAACGATTATAACAACAGTACACAACTTTTTATGCCTCCTTCTGAATTACTCGACACATCACCTTTACTTGATTATGACGCAAAGAGTATCGCAAAGTATTTGACATATATGGATTATAGTGCTTTCAAATCGATCACATTATACGACTATATTACCGGGTGGCGGAAAAAACGACAAATGATGGAACGTGGCACATCTGATAGCGAGCAACACGAAACCTCACATAATCATCAAGAGGCTGCAAGTCGTATTGATGAGTTTATCAGGAGATCCAATATGGTAGTATAGATTTTGATTTCGTTGATATATGTGGTTAATCTTGGTGTTAATTGAAAATTCTCGATTTCTTTTTTTAGATAAGTCACTGGGTGGCTTACGAAATATGTAAATTAAAAGAAGTGAAGATGAGAAAGAATATGCTGCAGAAATTCATTGAAGTCGCAAAAGTAATTCTCAACCTAATTATCAATTTCCTTATTTGACGGTTCTTACTAACGAGTTTTAATTTAAACTCCTTCGCCTCCAGCATTGTCGTCAAATGAACAATTTCCAAACGTCAATGACAATCATACTCGGCTTAAATTCTCGTTCGATACGAAGACTCGAAGAAACCTGGGCGAATCTTGCAAATAAACATATTATCACTTCACAACAAATTGAAAAGTTGTTGGATACTTCGAAAAATATGGATTTTTATCGACAGGCATTGGCAAGGTGTCGGCCTCCGGCTGTACCTTTTTTCGGTAACTGAACTATTTAAAATCATTTGGTACTCAAAATTTCTTTTGCTGATTATATGAATGACCCGAGTTCTTTCATAATATATTATATAGCAACTTGTCTCAAAGATATTACGGCAATAATGGAAGCAAACGAAACTTTTATTGCAAATTCCACTAATACAATTAATACAGCAGCAGCACCATCCAATCAAGAGAGTCAACACCAATTGCAACAAATAAACTGGCAAAAATTGCGTTTACTAATTAAAAACTTATACGCAATAATCGGTCTACACTCTGAAACATACAAATTTACTTCCACGAATCCCAGTTCTACTTTTGACGATAAAGAACTCATGGACTCGTTTCCCTCACCCACACCTTCAATTGCCGACAACAATACGATGCTTCATTCTCCATTCCGAATAAGATTCACAGCTTCCTCGCCAACAGACTCCCCCATATTCTCGTCATCGCCAAAATTCTCACCCAATCCATTGAGCGGTATCATGCTTGACAACATAGGGGAAATAATAGAACGGCGTATTTACTTGGCTGCCGGGGATCTGTTTCTTCCGAATTCCGAGAATAGTAGCAGTAGTAATTATGAAAATGATGGTTCCGAAAAGCTTATGGAGTTGTCAAGAATCGCCGAGCCTGATGAAATTTAAGAATGAACATTTTAGTTTTCGGATTATCTTTGGGATTTGATGTATCTTGTTATATTATCTTTGAATGTATATATTATTATTAGTGTGTCATTCTCTTTAATTTCCTGTTTATACAGTGATGTTATATTTCTTTATATTGTTTGTAATTTGAGAATCGAAATTGATTGTGCAGATTTGTTCTAGCATAAAGGATAAAATTTTTGAATTCAATTGTAAAAATTACGGGATTTACTTTAATATATAAACTTGGCCTGGTTGAACTTATAGATGAAATAAACAGAACACAAAATTGTCTTAGTCGAAACTTTCCATTCACTCCATATAAATAAAAGAATATATTACCGTTACATACGAAATTTTGGTATAACGATGAAAATATCGTTTGAAATTGTGATGTAGATCATTCTAAGGAATACCGATATCGATATTAATAACAAATAATAAATGAAATAGTGATTCATGAAATTGAAAGCTATCGCTATTTCCGGTATACCATACTTTGTTGCAAATAATTTATTTTTATTTTGATGAATTTTTTATATACAAAATTGACAAAAGTTCAATGAATTCTTGAAACAAAATTTAGCTATAAACCAAGCCCTGAATTCCAAAAGTAATTTGGATTTTGCATCCACCAAGGAGATTTAGGTGGCTCTTCTTTCGGTGGTAGAGCATCTTCAGCTTCCCACCAAGCAAAGTATTTGCCTTCGGCATGCCATTCAACAGCCGGAAAAGGGGATACGGTTTCAATAGAATCCGTATCTAGCGCCTTTGGTAAAAAGAAATATACGTGACAATCAAATAAATACAAGGGACCGAAAATTTATAATCAAAATAAATATTGTGATGTTTGAAATGCAAATAAAAGATAAATTACCGTATATACATTCAAAGTTGAAGTCTCCGACTCTTGTTGATCATTACTACTCGTCGGTGTCGTGGGTGCTGCTACTACAAATTCACGTACATTTTCATCTCCACCACGTCGCAGCACAAGCTTATTTCCGTATTCAAAATCTATTTTTCGTGCTTTTCGATTCTTTCTACAATGATAAACCGTGAGCGCCGATGGACCGACCACAGCAGCGATGATCAATGATATTATACATGTAGTTGTTAAGATTGTCATAATGAAATTTTTTAATGTAATAAAACAAATGAAATGATACAAAATTGTTGAATTAATAAATAATTTATATAATAATTAATGTCCTGTGAATGTTCGACTAAGCGATAAAAAAATATAAATTTGAAAATTGCCTCTCTAACTCGTTTAAAAATTCTTTAGAAAAAAAAAAACAATAATTAATCAAACAAACAAAAAAGTTACAGTAGTAGTAGTAGATTTCAAAGTACACACTGATCTTACTATAATTGGACTAAGGAGTGAAGATCACATAATATTTATTGTAAAATCTAACTAAACAGGGATTAGTGATGTTGACTTTGGCGTTCGTTTTCCCTTGATCGAAAAACGTCTAACACATAGAAAATCGTGTGATTGTGTTTTTGGATCAGTTTACCAGAATTAAATTTCTTTCTAATACCCATACGTATATGTGATAAGTTGCTGACATTTTATTGGATAACGGAAATTCTTGATAAGCCTCATATTTCAACCAGGCTTATTATATATATACATCATATATAGTCTTAGAATCTTGTATGCAGACAACAAATTTGATAAAAAATGAAAAATATTAGGAACATAAAATTCAGCGAGAAAATACGAAATTTACTTCTTCACAAGTTTATTTCATATTTGCATAAGGTAACAGATTTTTTTAATCATTTTTTAATTTTTGAATATCGATATAGACTGTTTTTCTAAAGATCTGATTTTCTGAAAAACAAAAAAAATTAATTGTAATTATGTTTAAAGAAAAATTGCAATTTTAAAAAATTTTAAATTAAAAAAATATCTATCGTTTGCAATTCGCTGTGTAACATTTACAAGGATTATCCACTAACCTTACAGTGATAGAATTTCTGAAATAACTTGCCCTTCCAATTGTACTGAGAATTTTTGATGGACTTGATCGAAATGTGGGTCTTCGAATGGGATGACATTATGATAAAGGTCAGGGGTCCTTCATTGGAAATCGTTAAAAATTTATCCCCACGAAAATATGATTTGGGGGGTATAGAAAAAATACGGAAATCGCCGGATAACGATTAAGTTCATAGTTTCTCACAAATAAATTAAATTCCAAAACTTTTATTTCTCTCAATAAAATCGAGATTTTTTCTTGAGTTTGCTGTTCATGATTACACCAAAAAATATTTCGTTAATTAATTGTGCATCCTTACACCAATCTAGAGTGTTTAAAATGTGCACCGAAAATTAACAATGTGGTTCATGTGTAAATTTATCTCCCTCGACTGATCATAAATTGAAAAGCATGTGAAGAAGTGTATAACAAATATATACATAACGATGGTATAAGGAGAATTTATAATGAAAGTTTACCATAGTGAAATTGATTGTTCCAAGTATAATTAAAAATTCGATTTAAATTAAAATAGAACAAAGTACATGTACAATGCAACACTGGAAAAATAACATACACACATGTAATATGATTTAAAATCTTGAACGTATAGTAGCACAGTTATAAACGATTCGAAAACGTATCGAATCTTTTGAAGCTTAAAATACACGACATAAAAAGTGACTTTCACTCAAATATTTATATTCGAATCGAACTTTCGGTACTTAAAAAAATTAGGTATTACTGCATTGTATGCCTAATTTTTCTTAAAACCACTAGTTTTTAGGCCAATCAATTTGAACTCAGTGTATTGAATTTTGAACTTAACATTTGTCAGAACGAATAATGTACAGTACGGAAATGTCACGGAAAAACAAGCAAAAATTTTATTTCTATGCTAAAATTCCGTAATGATACGCAGCAAATTTACTTTATTTTTTCGTAATTTTCATAATATTTTCCATATCCGAATTTTTATTCCGTTATAAATCATGGATGAACATTTACTCCGAGAATTTTAATTCTCATTTTTAATTTGAATAAAGCATAATGAATACGTACTCATCTTTTCGTAATTGGTTTCTATCTTGACGAATTAACGTTAATTAACAAAATCTGAATCGTCTATGCTCAAGAAAGTTCTCTGTCATTAGATTCGATTAAGAAAAATTTCTATTCAATATTTTGATTCTTATGTCTGTCTTAAATTAATCGCGAATGTGAATCTTTAATTCTTGTTCCATTCTAAGCAAAAGAGTTTTTATTATATTTTGAAAAATATTGCGCTTCGTTTCCTTCTCTTTTATAGTAAAGGTACTGCTTGAAAGAAACTTATTAGAAAAGCCATTCAATAAAAAAATAAAATATTAAACAAATCCAGTATATTCCCGTGTCATTTGATATGGAATTATTAAATCCCTCTGTATTCTACAAATCAAAGTACTAATACACATCGAGTGAGTCATTTTATGATTGATGATCCAATGATTTATTTTTTACGTAGTTTGAAGTTTATTATAGCTTGAAGTGAATAATTTTACAGGGGCTATAATAGTAACATTTATGCTATTTTGCTGGAGGTGACGGTAATGATAATTTTATTTTTTCCGGAATTTTTTCTCATGAATCACAAGCTTATATAATGTCATAATGTTACCGTTACGGAGACTACTCCCGAAAAAAATTGTACTGTACTTGTTTTACATTTCAAAATCTAGTGTGCTGACTGATATAGGCTAAATACTATTTTTTAGAGACTAAAAAATAAATATTCCTATCCCGTTTGTAAATGACAAAGATACAGGCAATAGGTTGATTGTTTGCAAATTATCAGAAAAAATTTATTTTTTTATGTATAATCGTAAATTAAATTTAAGCAATGGTAGTAGTAGTATAACTGTTTTTATATACATAAAGACAATATGTGAGGTTAAAATTAGAATTAATAGCTACGGCGCACGATTATCTTTTTCATCAATCATTGAGAAAAGAAGCCGTGAAGAAATTCTCATTTCTAAGAACTGAAATTCTGGTTCATCATCGTTAAAAACTTCGTCAGAATCTTTGTCACAATCTCCGTATCCGCTATCGGCAGAATCATAATGATTAATTGTTGGGATAGTTCGCTCGCAGGTTACCACTGGCATATGTTCAATGTTTATATCGCTCTTCATACCGTTCGACATTACGAGGCTATGCTTGAGACGCAAACGAGTCGTGTAAGTATTTTCCGACTTGCTTTCAATTAATTTCCTATTGTATGGAATGTCAAACCAAATTCCACCCAAATCATTCTCGCGATCCATCAATTGTATCTGTAAAAGTCCCATCGATTGACGATCAAAACTCGTCTCCGTCGTGCACCATGCAGAGTTCTTTTCTTCAAGGTGAAATTTAAATCCGTTCACTGGCGTGTTCCTTCTAGCGTCACCGTATACGACTGTTGAGACCATATGTGTAGTGTAGTTTGTGATTAGATCTGATAATCGAGTTTGAATCTGAATAAATGAAGAGGATTCGATGATTGACGATTAGGTGGTGTAGAAGACGATGCGCGATATCACACATGAGAGCCGAAGTTCCCACGTACTGTGAGAAACTTTGTTAACATCTCTGTTTTTTGAATATTGAAAATATTCTTGAAATAGATAAAATAGTTATTAACTTTTATTTCCAAGTCATCTTTGAATCGGTCCTTTACGTAATCGATAGTTGCGGTTTCAAGCAATTGATTCCATTTTCTGCAAGTCTTACGTAACTTCACTGCCAATTTAAGACTAATATAGGATGGACAATAGAGATAGAATGTGATTAGAATACGATATACAATATTGATTTATGTGATGTGTTTGTTAAAATATCAGACGACATAATCATAATAAATTTTAGTAGAATGAAAACAAAATCAACGATTTTTCGGGTGAGATAAGCGTATGGCGCGCGTGTGTGTATTGATCGATCATTTCGAAATAATACCTTGAATTATGCAAAACATTTTTAAAAATGAGAATTAAAATTTCATTTGGTAATTGCGATACCATATTTGTATAGATATGTGTGTGTATATTAGGATATAAGTAGATAGATGTAATATGTATTAAAGAGTTGGTGTTTTTAAGTTGGAAGAAAAAACTTGAGAGGTGTCGTTCTCTGTCATTTTATATCTGAAAATTGATCATCAATGTTACACGACAGAATGATAATTTTGGCCAAACATTTATTTGGTCACATTATGCGATTTTCTTGAATTGTAGATTTGGACATGTTACGGTGCACGGCTGTGCTAATATGTTCATGTGCATCCTCATTCGAAAAATTTCAAGCTGCGTAGTAATTAAATAAATTAATAATTCAATGTTAATTCATTAACGGCTACTACCAATTTCCTGGTCTGTCCCTGCTTCTCGGGGCATCCGTTGTTGTTACCTTATCATTGCTGCTTTTACCCGGATAAATATCAAAAGAATATTGTGTTATATTTGGAGAATAGTATTGATATCTAGAGTACAGTAATCTTTTTGTACAAAACTTTATTATTTGGCAAGACAGATCTCTTGGCGAAGATCTTTGGCACGCAAATTTTAAAGGATCATATCAGAATACAAAAAAAAGAAAATCTATTCAAAATTTTTCAAATTTACTCAGAGACTTAACCCTGCTATTTTCATATTCAAGTTAGATTCTATATATATATTTTTTTTCTTCGTATAATTTCTCATTTGTGTCGGTTTCATTTTCATTAATGCCAATATAATTAATTACTTTGTTATCTTTGACCTTTCATTCTTTTACCTGATAATCTATCATAAAAATTCATCTATGTTCTGATTCTACAAAATTTAATAAGTATTTGATTAAATTAAAATTAAGAAACTCCCACGCATTCTTCATCCATTTGGCAAGTGATACATATAATGGCTTTTCTAATATGTTCTGATGCAGTAAATTCATGAAGTTCTTCTGATATTCATTTATTATAAGTGTGTGAATCGATTAAAATTATTTAACATACATATATAAAAGGTTTTAAACAAAAAATTTATAGCTTTGCTTTGAGACTTTTATTAATGATCAATCATATCTAACAGTTATAATTTTGATATTAATCCTCTACAAATTTGTGTTTTTTTGGCAAATCAATGTTTAAATGAGATCAAGAACTAGAAGAGAAAATGAATTACTTAAGGTCATTTTTTTTGTCCAAATATTTTGATTTATTACAACGTCTCTGTTTTATTGATCCATCACTTTTCATTTACACAAACCAATATTTCATTAGGAAACTTTCTTGAGGCGTATTTTTTTAATTTAAAAATATATACAAAAGCTAAGTTAATTTCATTGATCATGCATCTAAGAATATCTGTGAAATCTTTTTATAGCAAGTAGTATGAATACTAACAGTATGCGCTCCATGTTTTTCAGATCAGACGAGTTAAAAATAAGAGATGTTCCATCATATTAATTTAAAGAATAATCATGTTAAATGTATTGATATAAAATAAAACAAAAAAAATTGCCTTCTAAATCTTTGAATAAATGCTGCTGTGCAATAGTTATGATGATAATTTGACAAATTGTATCGATTTAAGAAATTATTTGCTTGAAAATTTGAATTTGCAAATTTCTGAAAGATTTTTAAAGTCAGTTCGAGCAAGTGAAGATATCTTGGTGATTATTGATATCGAGCAACTGGATTTTGCAATTTGCATTATTCAATAAATACAATCAAATAAGCTTTTTCCATTTGTGAAAACTTTGATGGTTTCTCATATACAGTTCGGAAAAGCCTTAATTAATTCAGTTTTTTTCTTCCAGCTCTGCAATTGTTTTGGTTGAACATTAAACTTTCAGCTTGCTGCTTTAATGTTTATATTGTTTTTTTTTGATAGTAATGACCATTAATTTTTCTCAGGCAAACCAACCATTGCCTTCGTAATTTTTTGATTGTACGTGCTCTTAGAGCACTTCTACTGCTATTGACAACCATATTTCATCAAAAAAAATATTTGTTTTTAATTTCGTATTATCCAAGTAGCCAGTCAGACAAATGGGCATTCTGAAACAATTAAATATAGTCATACCGCATGTATAATTCCCCCGCAACAGAAATTTATTTCTTAGTATTTGATCCAAATATTCCTCCAATGTAATATAACCACCCAATCACGCATTGAACGTAAAATACTTTAAATGGCGTTTTATGGTAACAAAAGAAAAAGTTATAATAGTATCTATAATACCAATTCTAGCGATATGTTAATTTTAGCACGGAAATGAAGTTGGGTGGATCTATGACCAAATTGAAAATGAGGCGGAACAGTCATAATGAAAAATATGAAAGCATTAAAACCTTCCAAGCGTCCATTAATAAATTTATGAACACCAAAAGATCAAAGCATTAGAGAATCGAAAAAAAAATGGGCGAGCAAATACTTTATCAAATAGATCGATATTTGTTAATTCTCTTTCGGTGTTATGTTATGAAATAATTGAATACTCAATAATAATGACCGATTTATGCGAAATTCGAAAATTTTCAACTATGAAAAATTGACTTCACTCTGGAAATATATTATTATTTTAAAAGATATTGCCCATGATTGGTTATCGTTATTGAATAATTATCACCCATTTCATTTTGTTTATGAAAAATACAACGTGTGTACCTCCTAAACAAACTGCTGCACGAAATTTTTCATTGTGATAATGTAATTTTATTGTGTCAGTTTGTAGTCGTTCCAATTTAATGGGAACATAAAACAACTATTATTTCACATATTAATCCAGCAAGTCATAAAAGAAGATCATAATCTTTGTACAAATAACACACCAAACATTAAAGTCAACAATTAATAATAATGCATCTATGGCACTTTTACAATTTAAATTGAATTGATTTTTAGAACCAAATTTTATGTATTTAGTGAAATACATAGATATCAAATATATATTTAGTTACCAAATTTCGTCATGTAGTATAGAACGTAGCTTTTAGCGCTTATAGCAAAATGTTGGATGATAGGCAAAATCTTTGTCAAAAATCTCTTCGTGCACTTACGATTATATATAAAACGGATTTTTTTCAAACTACAACGGAATTTTTTCCTTTCCCCGAAAATATCACATGATTAAGCACGACCTCGATCCACGACGAACTTTATAGAAATTTACATACATCTGGCGGTGGAAACTAAATGCTTTGAATTCTTAGTACTGTTCTTTGTTTTTATATTCAAAGTGACATTAAATCGAATATTAGGCTCTACAAGTATTAGTTTCTCTAGGTTCAAACAAAGATAAAATTACTACTGATATTTTGTATTAATTTCTTTAAGTTATTTATTAATTTATTTCTCCCCAGTGAAATGACCAGGTGACATCACTGACATTATCAATCTGTGCAGACTGATTTTAAACACAATTGTCCTATATGATTAATAAGAATCTTTGTGGCTTATAGCTAATTGTGATTAAGGATCTATCTCTTCTTGATCACTCACAAAGAGAGTTGCCGAGTTACTCATCATCACCGTAATTGTTGATGCGAAGGTGAATTGATCCACCAATCGTTCTGTCCAATTTGTGCGCGTCCTCCTATCTTTTTATCGCTTTTCGATCTGGTCGATTACTCTAGCAAATTCTCCTTGATGGTAAAGTAATCTTTCTGTTTTGGAAAGTTGATGGAATGGTGGCCTTCTAGATCGTGGATCATTTGAAGCATAGACGACTTTCCAGGTTGTCTGGTGTTCAAGCTTTCTAGTTGATCTAATGGAATGAGAAATATGCCAGTTGAGAATAATTGTTAATTCCCTTAATTTTCGAATCCTTCATGTTCAAATTAAACAATATCTTCAAAACTTTTGATGTAACGATCTATCTTCAATTCAAATCAGTGCTGGCATTTGAACAGCTTGAACATATAAAAACTGTACCATTTGAACATAGTTAATTTGGACACTCAAATTATTTGGGCTTAGTCCAAATGCCAATATTGGTTCAAGTGGTTCTACTTCGCATTCGTCAAGAAATCCTGCAATACCCATTCAAAAAAAAATCGGTAATAATTATATTTACTAGAGGGTGCTAATTTAAAAATTAAATCAAGTAATCATAAAGATTTAGTTTATAATTTTTAGTGCAAAAAGCACTAAGTGCTACGGTGGTGCTGATATCCCATAGTGTGGGAAGAAATCATGTGGTGTAACAGTGTGGAAAATTACTTACGGGAGATTCTATATGTAGTATGTAGAGAAAACAACAGTAAGTACATGTAGAATATTGCCTGATAAATTATGCTTGACTAAATTCGTTTTTTATTATCAATACAACACTCGAATATTATAAATCATCTAATAATTTGTCAAACATAAAAAGTTTTTTGCCATACATAGTTTGATAAATTTTAACTATAACTTGACGTTCGTTACCCAGGATAGACTTTATTATTCATCTATATTTTTTGTTTAATATCCTAACAAGTAATTCCCACCAAGTGACAAAAATATTATTTTAGTCATGTCGAAAAGCAGAGTGGAGGCGTATTTCGATCATGAATTTTCCAAATGGTGTATTACTGGATTGTAGACGAATGCCAAACAGAAGTGAAGCTAGATCGTTAAATCAAAAATCTCGAACAGATCGTTGAAGCTCAAGAAGGAAATAGGTCCGAAAAAGCCCAAATGCTCCTTGATAGATATAGAAAAGACAAGTGATTTTTTTATTTTAGAAAGTGGATGGAAATGGTGGTTGGGGGGGGGACTTGCTAGGTTGTCGGTCATTTAAGGTTGTTAGCCGAACCACAACAAAGTCTGTGTTAGTATGGCGACTTGCTAAGTCGCAAGATTGCTAGCCGATCTGACGGGATAGGAAATAGGCCAGTCCATACAAAGTACGCGACCGGATCGAAATGCAGCAAAATTATGGGAGAAAGCGCGCAACTCAAATAAAACGATTGGTGGATATTGTCCCCCCCAAAATAAACTGAATCCATTACAAGCTTTATCAATATCGATATTGATCTCTTGTTAAAAGCATTTATAAAAGTTATTATACAATTCAAGAAAATTCATTAGTGGGATAAATGTAAAAATAATACTTTTTCATTTAAAGTACAATGCTATATGAAAAAATGGCAATTAATTTTTTGATTATAAATCATTAAATAATTATTCGAATAATATAAAATATTTTTATATAATAAAAAATAATAGCATAATCTTTTATAAGAAAAATATAAAAATGCACAGCCACAAAAATAATTTAAATTATATTTTATAAAAAAATTTACTTAAGATGAATTATATAATAACTTATTAAAATTTTAAAAATTTTTGAAGCTAATTTTTTGAATATAAAATGCAAACTGATGAAATATTTTACTAAGATTTTTTATTTTATGGTCTTAAGTAAACTTGGTTTCTAGATATTAAAGAATATATATACAAATACTTATATAATTCTTTAATTATTTATAATCAAAAAATTAATTGCCAGTTTTTCCACATACCACTGTAGATGCCGACTGCTCTAAAGTTCACAATAATACTTTGATAGTAACGATGATGTTCAACAATCCGACAAACACAATCCTGATAATTTATATGCTTGACAAACAAAATCCTGAATAAACGTCATCCCGGATGCATGAAATCCCGAACAACAGTATACCGAATGAATGGAATCCCTATTATGATTTTGGCATTTGGAATGAATACTTTCGGGATTTCGTTTTTCGGGCCGAATCCTAAAACAAATGTATATTTTTTCACTATAAAGACATTCTACATGTTATAAAACAAAGATTTTATCGTTCCATCTGTTTATTTTTAAAGATAAACTATTACAGCGCTCTAAGTTTCCACTTATATTTTGAGTATGAACACTGTAGGAACAAAAACTTGAAACTTTTAGTGTGGTTCGAATTATTTTTTGATAACGATATAATGTCTAGGAGTAATTTCAATTACATAATTAATTTAATTGACCATCTGTTTATACTGATAAAAGTTTTAAAAGTGATTTTGTATGATCAAAAAAATTCCTTCATGAAACAATAAACTATACATATACATGTATATATTTATATTTAAATGTCATTATAAAATAAATGCGTGTACCTGTATCAGTGAGATTGATATTACATGTAATTTTAAGTAAAGAATCGACTGTGTAAATTTCATTTGAGTGGATTTCTTGTTTTTGTTTATAGACGTAGAAATGCTCGCTTGTGATTCTATTTCCTTATCAAGTTCTTTCAATTTCTTTTTGTCTCCCTATTCTCTGAAACTCTTTGAATTTTTAAGATACAATATTCTAAAACGTTGTATTATTGAGATGCAAATCCCGATTTGATAAAGTCATCAAGTTTCTCAGCAATTAGCCTGTTTCTGAAATAGAATTCCAACTTTTTCAATAATAAATTTGCAATATACGGGTATCATAGGTTATATATATATATATATATATATATATATATAATATT